TGTTCTGTTCTTTTTTTTTTTTCCTTTTTGTCTTTTTTCGTGACCGGCAACGGATCGCAACCCTCAGTGTCGCGCCCGTACTGGACCGGGACCGGCCACGGGATCGCAACCCTCGGTGTTGCTCCCGCCCCTCGCTCAGCCAGTGAGAGGCCGGTCTGTATGTGGGATCCGAACCCTCGGCGGGAGCGCCACTGCGCTTCCCAAGCGGCGCACTATAGCAGTGCGCCACCGGGCCGGCCCTAAACTGTTCTGTTCTATGCATGTAAACATTACTTCTTTAAGATAATGGGAAATTAGCAAAAGTATATCTTAGACTCTTGGTTAAGAGACCTAAAGGACCACAGTATTTTATATTTTATTTCCTGAAGAGTTACAAATACCTAACATGTTAAGTTTGGTTCCATTAAATGGGCAGCAGGGTGCAAAAAACTGTTATATTGAATTATGGTGTGATAGATTCTTTAGATAAATTTGTCTAAGAACTACTGAAATTAAGATGAGAATAAAGCAGTTATCTCTTCTGAAAAGAAAATGGCTATTTGCTCTAAGCTAATCCTATGTTTATTTTCTAAGTGAACAGAAGATGCTGTTAATAAGCACATGCCAACTATAATAGAAGAGAGGCTGCAAAGAATAGCGAAAAATAGATGAAGTACATGTTTAGGTCAGTGTGGGAGTTACCATTTGGTGATGTCCCAGGTACCTGCTTCACATTTTTATCTTCTTATGATCAACATTTTAATCAATAACGTTGGTGGAGACAAATACAAATAATCAAATTTGTGTATACCCAAAGCAGGGAATCATAGCAAAGATGACAGATGATTGAAATTGCAAATACCCTTTTCTTGACCAAGGATCAAACCAACTAGATAATGTTTAATATGCCAAATGTGAGAATTCTTATAAACACGGTTAAAAGGTCAGTTTCATAAGCATAGGATAATAGTGACCTGGATTATCAATGGCTGAAATGGAAAATACCTGAGGATTTTAATTAATCCCAAACTCAGTATGAATCATCAGTGTGATGTGAGAGGAAGCCTGATGGTGAACGATGCATGTTTAATCTCAATGCTGTGGCTCGTTCTAAGATCTATTACCTACCACTTACTAGTCGCTATGGGCAAGTCACTTACTCTTGGCTTTCTCACCTTTAGGTTGGGATTAATAATAACTAATGTAGGAGGTTATTGTGAGTATAAAATAGATAATGCATATGAAAATGACTATAGCTTCTATTTTGTGATGGTTGAATAAGCTGACGCAACATTAAACTGTTCTAGTGGAGGTGTAGTGTCCAGGTCAAGTGCACTACAAGTCACAATGGGCAATTGTCAGATCAATTGATTATAAATTCATTGGGGCAGTGGCTGTGTCTGATTCATTCTCCATTGTCTAATGCAGTGCCTGGCTCCTCTTTGGTTGTGAAAAATACATCTTGAGAAAATAAATTTGTTTAGAGTATTAGACCTTAATGGAGTCACATTTTAAGAGAGAAAGTAATATTTCAGATTGAACCTAGGAAGGAAACCAAGATGGAGAGAAAAATAGAATTAAAAGATGATACGAATCTTTCCACGAACTTTTTGAAGTACCCTTGTATATGAAGAATAATTAAAATAACTAAGCGTATATACTCGGGAAAAGAGGAGATCCAAATATTAAAAACCCAAAAACAAAGCATAAAAAAAAGCAATGTGTATTGGTAACTTCCATGAGAACACAAAGTATCAGGAATACTAAAGGAGGCATAACAGGTTAGTGACTGAAGAAAGGTCACTTTTCCTCTTGCAATACCTCAGTAAGGTTGTTAGTGTGAAGATTCAGAAATTTGTACAGGCATTCATTTTCTGTTCTTTTTCCACCACCTATGTTCCCCTGGGCACATATCCCAAACCTGTTTCCTCTTTATATGTTAATAAGGATAATCATAAGACCTACTTTCTAGGGGTATTATGAAGAAAAATGAGATGATGAATGCCAAATGCTTCCCATTGCTAAAAAAAAAAGTGCTAAAAATATATACAGTCATGCACTGCAGATGGCCACATTAACAACAGTGGTTCCATAAGATTTTTGTGGAGCTGAAAATTTCCTGTCGCCTAGTAACATAGCTGTTATAATGTAGTGAAACACGTTACTCGGGTAGGAGCAATAAGCTATACCATACAGCCTAGCTATGTAGTAGGCTCTACCATCTAGACTTGTGTAAATACATTCTATGATGCATTTTTCAGAACTTATCCCCGTCCTTAAGCGATGCTTGACTGTAATTACTGACCCTTCCCATATTCCAAAAATGCCAGTAGGGGGTGCTGGAGAACCTTTTGGGAGAATTCAGCACCATCTGGGTTGTGCATGGGACCAAGATTCTAAAATTTATTTGTTTTTAACTTGCCACCACTAAATGTGTCACATGATCTCAGAAGGATTGTGTGTAAATATAGAAATTAATGAATAGCCCATTTTAAAACTTGCTTCTGGAAGGTAGAGTTGGAAGAGGTAAAGTTTCCCCGGGGATGAGCTGGGGGCTCCCAGCATCCTTTTCAGTAACTCCTCCCCTTGGCCATCCAGTTTCCTGGTAACGAAGACATTCACATGACCCCAGCCTGTGAAATTTTGTTTATTGTGTGTTTCACTCTGCAGGGAGATTCAATGTTTTCTTTGGGTGGAGAAGATTGTTTACATTTCTCTACTGGATATTGTTTTAAGAGAGGTTTGAAATCTGATATTGTTACAGGTTGAAAGAGTTATGTACTTAACCCTTAATGTCCAATAAGGCTTAATTAATTCAGATTTTAATCTAACCTTTCTAACCCATAGGAAGGTATCTCTAATTCTGAAACTTTAGACACTGGAATAGCATAGCAGGAGAAATATTTTGTAGCAGGAAGCACTTTGCTGGAATTCATCAAATCATATCGTTAACAGACTATTCAAAAAAACTCTTGACTCTTCTACTAACAAATTAGTGATAATCAAATAAGGGGCATTTGGCTCTTAGACATTAAATCTCAAATCAGGTAATAAAACAGCAACAAATGTATTACTAAATAGAAATTTGTTATTATTTCTACATTTCTTCCTTAAGTTAGAAATCTACTTGGGGACAAAAAAGTCCTAATTGGGGCCGGCCAGTGGCGCACTGCTACAGTGCGCCGCTTGGGAGTGCGGCGGCGCTCCCGCCAAGGGTTCGGATCCCACATACAGACCGGTTCCCACTCACTGGCTGAGCGAGGTGCGGGCACAACACCGAGGGTTGTGATCCCGTTGCCGGACACGAAAGAAGACAAAAAGGAAAAAAAAAAGTCCTAATTGGAATATATATGTGAACCTAGAGTGGACACAAATAACGTGTCTTTGGCTAAGATAAAAGTGACTACTGTATTATATCACCCTCTCAGGAGAGGCTACACTGATTCTAATGATGAGTTGTTAGTAAGAAATGTGGTTCAAGCTGTTTTTTTTTCAGTTTTCCTCTCTGCAAAGCTACCTGTCTTATATAACAATCAAATCTTCATCATTAACAGTGAGTGCATTTGGACAGTTGAATGAATAGATTTTTTATTTGGCAATTGTGCAATGTTTGTCAAACTTGTCTCACTATAGGATTTATTTGAGACTCTTGTTAAAAGTTCTCAGAAGATTTTCATTCAGGGGGTCTGAGCTGGTGCCCAGGCAAAAGTATCTTTAAGAAACCCAATAGGTGTGTCTTATGGACACATAGGTTAGAGACCCTAATGCTAAAGAAATTGCTTTTGGCATGAGATTCAGTTTGAACAGGCAAAGCACATGTGCTAGATGACCCCCTAACTGGTCAGCCTGTAGCAAAAGCCCTTTGGATGGTCTCTGCTGATTATGAGAGTTTGCTTTTCATGCACTCAAACCTTTTGCTCCCATCTGGAATGTTCTCATGTGTTTTAATACTTAGACATAACTGATACATAATCTTAAAGTCATTGCTCTTGAGTTCTGAACTTAAACTTTTGTTTAACCTTTTTTTGAGCAAAAATGCAAGTTAGGGCATGGTTATAAGTAGGGTCTTAGCTGCTTATGAGTCATATGGGCCTGGGTTTGAATGTCAGTTCTTCTAGGTGGGTGACCACAGCCCACTCACTTAACCCCTCTCATTTTCTGTTTGCTCATCTATAAAATATATAGTCATTGTTAGTAGTTAACATTTACTGAACTCTATTATGAGTCAGGAACTGTTGAGTTTTTTATATGAATCATTCCCCTTAATCTTCAGCACTATGAGATACCCACCCATAAATCACTGAGTAAACTGAGACACAGGGATGTAAACAACTTGCCCAAGATCTCACAGTGAGGAGGTGGCAAGCTAGTACCTATTCAATAGGTTGTGTGAAGGAATAATTATAAACTTTTACAGCTGTCTATCCATGTATCTTTCTAATTTTTATACAAATTCTGAAGAACAGCTAATATTACCAATATTTGGGTTTGATTAAAAGAAAGAATTTAATTAAATAGAATATATTTAATTATGAGCTTCACAGCAGTTATACTAGAGAGGCATCAGTAAAGCTTAATAAACAAACAAACAAGGTTTATTTGTCAGAGAAAAGTAAAGGCAGTGGTGATAAGGGCACACTATGAAGAAGCATTCGGCATGCTTGAAATAGAAGTGGCCCTCTTGAAAAGAATTTCTGTTACTTCTGTCTTGTAAATGTTGTCTAATGCTAGTATATTCTCTAATTAGTATATTCAAGAATGACAAAAATATGGGCTGCAAGACAATTGCTGGATCTGAAACGTTCTTTAGGTGCCTGGGTTGACCACCTGGTGTGCATAGTATTGACTCGGGGAGAGATGCCAGCCTATGACTTCAGTTCCTGTATAGCTGCATAAATAAATAAAAATAAAATTTGATCCACGTCACTCAAGAAATCCCTCAATAAGGTCCATCAGTTTGTATAATTCACCCTGAAATAATAGCATACCCAGTTCAAGAAACAAGAAAATCTCACTTAGTTTGAACCTCCACAGCCCTCCAATATCTTCAGTCCTCTCAAAGCAAGTGGGCCCAAGTCCCTCATCCACACAGCACTTCAGAGACATCAGGCCACTGACCCCAGCTCCAATCACTGCCATCTTATGTGCCACTGTCTTTTGCCAAGGAGTTGGTCAATCAATACTGCTTAATTGGGACGAAAGGTCAGAGAGTTATTATGATGTGTTCAGGTAACTGGTTTTAGACACTAGCAGTGGTAATTTAATAAGCAGCACTAATTGAATAAAATGCCTCACTATTCAAATTTCAGTCTTCCCGTTGAGAGAAGGTGGGTTGTCTTATGGACTTTACTGGAAACCTTGTTTACAACTTGTTTGTTTAACATTTAAAAGCAACCCGTTTAGCAAAGCTGAACTATTTAATAATAGAGTACTAGGACTGTGAGCCAAATCTCCTGTTACATTATTTAGAGTTCTGAGCTTTTCCTTTTCAGCTTCTGTCCCCGGCTATCATACTTACCTTTGTTTTTGCCTTTTGGCACTGTGTCTTTGACAGAATAGTTTTCTGCCTTGGTTGATTGTGTGCTGGGAGGCAGTCAGAAGTGTTTTTAAGAGTTGGAGGTGGCTGTGAGAAACGGGAGGAGCTCCTAACTCCTTCAGTGTTCTGCTGTCTGAAACTCAAAAGACTTTGAGTCCTTAAATTAAGCAAGAGGCTGATGTTCTGAGGTCAAGAGTAATGATTGAATGTCTTTACTCATTTATTATGTAACAGGTATTGTGTAAGTCTTACCTAGACTAACTTGCTTAATTGTTATCACAATCCTATGAGAGAGTAAATCTTCTTAGCTGCATTTTTTGAGTGAGAAAGTCAATACATAGAGAATTAAGAAAAAGGCTGAAGATCACATAACAAGGAGGGCTTTGAACCCAGGCCATCTAATTACACAGGATGTGCTCTTACTCACTGCATCAAACAAACTCAGAGATGGCACATACAGGAAGAGGAGTATGTTGTGGGATGTTAATCAAGCTAATTGATGAAATAAGAGCCTATGTAACAGCAGGGCTGGTTTTTCTTCCTTCATGCTTCTACACGTGACCTCCCAGTGTAAAGACTAGGAACAGCAATATTTGCCTCCAGTATTAGTTCTAATTAACAGAATATAATTCAAAGTACTTAGAATAGTATGTTTATTCTCATAGCCTACCACACCCTTGCATTTTTCTAGACTTCATTTCCACATAACTTTTTGCCCTTTCCACAAATTGAGCCATCTGCAGAGTCCCCAGCTATTCTTTTTGAAAAAATGCAGTCTGACAATTTTCATCTTTAATTAAAATATTTAATGTGTTGGCATTGCTGTTCTTTATTGCTGAACTCTGTGTATACCGTCACTATGAGATAAGCTGCCCTAATTCTCAATTGCACTACAAATATGGAAATGCAACTTATTTTTTTTTTTGGTGGCTGGCCAGGATGGGGGTCTGAATCCTTGACCTTGGTGTTATAACACTATGCTTTAACCAACTGAACTAACTGGCTAGCCCCTGTTTTTAACATTTATAAATACATTACAAAATATTTAAAATATACAAAAGGTATAATATAGCTTACACTCATGTGCTCACTACCTAGTTGAAGCTCTCTTTGTACCTCACCCTGATTTTATTCCCTTCTATGCCTGCTGAATGCAAACAGTCTCTTAAATTTATTTTATCTTTTGCATATTTTTAATATTTTACTACATATGTATTGAACATTATATAGTTTTATGAAAATGTATTACAACATGTGCATTCTTGTTCAACTTGCTCAGTGTTTACTTTGTGAGATCCATGTTTTTAATTTAAGCAACTTTATGTCATTTACGTTTGTCATGAAGAATACTCCTTTATATAAATATTATTACAATTTATTTATTTATTTCCCATTTATAAATATTTAGATTATTTCAGTTTTTCTAATACAAGCAATGCTCCCATAAACATTGTTAAACTTGTTTACTTGTGCACCTGTTCAGGAGCTTCTCCAGAGTATGTGTCTAGCTGTGAAATGGCTAAGTTACATGATATGTATATCTTCAAGTTTACTAGATAGCTATAAATTGTTCTCCACAATGTTTGTACCAGTGTTGGGAAAATAGAATAGTTTGGTCAGGGCCCTTGCCTTGCGTCAGCCCAGTGTTGCCATGATTTCCCATCTGTGGCTCCAAGGACCTTTTGGCTGGTGACCTAGCTCATAGACATGCATGTAAGGGGTCTGGTGACCCAGCCTGGTGTGTTAGGGGTCTGGGGACCCAGCCTGGCATATGAAGGGCTTGTGACCCAGTCTGTGAACGGGCTTGAGGGGTCTGTGGGCTCCAGACCGAGGCTTAGCTCGACAATCGGCCCAGTCAGTGCAGGATTACTGGCAGGTGAAAGAGCCCGACAACTGTCATAGTAGAGTAGCTTTACAATTGGTGTCATGAACAGGATAAGAGCACTACAATTGGCGATGTCAACAGGATTCCAGACATTAGCCTCACCCTAGCCCCACATACCAGTTCATGCTCCCTCCAACAGTGAAAGATTCTCCTTGCTCCTCATCCCATCTGGCACTTGATACTGTCAGACTTTATTTTTTGCTGATATTAAGATATGAAATGATATTTCATTGTGATTTTAAGTTACATTTCCTTGATTCTTAGTCAATGGCATAAATTAACAAAAGCCTGGGAATAATAGTACAATACAAAGAGTAACTTACAGTTGATACTAGAATTTATCTCTTTTATAGTCCATGTGCCCAAACCAGACCTCAGAGGCCCTCACCGTGTCAACTTTTTGCTTGGTGTCTAGCAGGCACAAACCTTAAAGTACAGGCCCAGATGCTTGCAAAACCCAGAGAGGAAGTTTACCGACGGCCGCCTCATGTGCTGCCTGAGGATTGTCCCAGTTCTCAGTTCAATTGATAACGAGGACTTTTTTTTCAGGGAAAATCCATGCCCTAAAGAAGAGTATCTTCTGTCTCCATGGTCCAGATAAAACACAGTAACAGAATAATAGAACAAGAATATAGTAGAATAACAGTAGCCTTTTAGAATGACAATAGAAATATCTCCAAGTTGGAGTTATAGAGCCTCAACCCATGTGAGTGACCCCAGCACTTGGGGCACGTTGTGCTGCCAAAGTCAGTATCTTTCCATTCCACTCTTTCCACTCAGGGAAGGGCTACCTGCATGTTACTTTTGCTGTATTCTCGTTTATACTTTAGTATCCTGGGAGTCAAATTATAAATAAACACAAACTCACCTATATCATTCAAAAGGTTTGAAGCACAGGTTGCTCTTGTTCTAGATTTTTGAAAAATCAAAACAAAACAGAAAAACAATGCCAAACATTTCAGTAGGTCTTAGGAATCATAGTTTTGCTAAAACACTCAATTTTTATTTCTAACCAAAATATTTCATCTTACGAATATAGTTGAATGTGTTTGAAATGATTCATGTGCAAGGTTATTCACTGAAGCAAAATAGTAAGATTTAAAAAATATATATATTCATCAATAGGAGACTGGTTCCATAAATTCCAGTACATCTCTATAATTTGCTGATATACAGCTTGAAAAAGAATGAGACAGTACTCTATCTATGAGTGTGCTTCAAAAAGTTCATGGAAAAGCAGAATTAAAAGATAATATGAATCTTTCCATGAACTTTTTGAAGTACCTTCTATTGATTGACAAGGTATATATTAAATGAACAAGCAAGGTAGAGAACAGTATATGAACTATGCTACACTTTATAGCATTAAAAAAAGAGAAATACGGTAAAGTACTTTTTAATTTTCTCATATTTGGATAAATACATTTTGAGAAAATATTCAAGAAACTGATAAAAGTAAATATCTGAGGACATTGGGGAATGGAAATTGAAAAGAGAGGGGGCGGGATCTAGGCAGGTAGAGGCCAGGAGTAAAAGTAATATTTTTCACTTTTCTACTTAAAACACTTTAAACCACGAGCATAGATAACTGTTAAAACAAACAAGCACAAGCACAAACACAGCACTACTGTCAGCCTATGATTCACGTTTGGGTTAATTCTCTGTATTCCAGGCTTGCCTAAGTAAAGTGCCCGAGCATTTGTCTTACACTGTCATCACTGAAATGATGAGGAATGCACAAAGAGAACAAAAGGAGATCTGTCCCAAAGGCACATGACAGTCCCCACTCAGGAAGGCAGAAACTGATTGTATCTGTCAAAAAAGCAGTTTTATCACTTACAAAATATTCTAAGTTCTACTCTTCACTGAAAACTTGTCACAAATAAATGCTCCTGATCTAGCGTAGAAGGCCCTTCCTCCAACTCCACCTACCAAACTCCTACCCATCTTTTCTGATTACCCCAGTCACAATTAGAGCTCACTGTTGCTCCTGTTGAGTTTTAACCTGCACAAGTTCCTTTGTACGCTGTGCCTCTTGGAATTCTCCTTTTACCAACTGCAGTTGTTCCTATCAGTTTAGTTTGTCTAAAATTTGTCCTCTTATTTCCATATTGCTGCTACTACCATACTTCAGAATTTCATCCCTTCTTCCCAAAAGTCCTGATTGTCTCCTCCACCACCTTCCAACCCAACCACCTTTACACCCGCCTTCCCCCACTACCAATTTATTCTTTACACTACAGTTGAAACTGGGAGAACTTCATGTTAAAAATGGTAGACTGACCACGTACTTCTCTCTGCTTCTTTTTGAAACCTCACTGAAATAAGAATTTTAAAAGAGGCATAAAACCATAGGATAAACAGAATAAGAGATAAGATTACAGCAGAGAAGAAATATCAACACACTTTTTTAAAGATGGGGTGTAAGTTGGTGAGTCATGGGAAAGCTAACACCAAGTACTTACAATGGGTGCGAACATGAAATTTCAGAACTCCAGGGATAAAAAGATCCCACAACCTTCCAGAATAGGAAATACAAGTCATGTGGAAAGGGCAGTGTCCAGAGCCATAGAGCCCGGCTGTTGCCTAAGAGCCTGCCTGCCTGTCCGGAGCCAAAGAGCCTGCCCAGCTATTGCCTCGAGACCTCAGAGCCTTGTTTGCTGTTATCTTCTGTCCCTCCGCCTCCTGTGCACTATGGGTGTAGGTAACTTTGCAACTTGCCATAGATAACGGGAATTTTCCATTTACCAGAACAACCCGCCCTGCGGTTTTCTCAGTTAACCATCTGCATACTTAATTATCTGCTGATTCCCTCCTGCTGTCTATATAAACTGTGACCTTCTGGCTAATAAATGAGACTTGATCAGAATACTGTCTTGTCTCAGTTTCTTGTGTCTCTTGTTCCATCCCATTCCCACTCCCCCCTCCAGGGTCTGCGTTGAATATCCCGTGGGTCGGGACAGGGCAGAGGATAGAAATGACAATTGGCTTTTAACAATAATACTGAAGCTGGAAGACAATGTGGCAATGACTTCAAAAGTCTGAGGTAATATGAATTTTCAGCTTATACTTTTATATCTAGCTGAACTACTGATCAAGTGCGAGGATGAAAGTAATATATTTCAGGCATATGAGAGAGATAACACCCCAAAGCTTCCAAAATCCCTTTTCTTTTTCTATCTTGCACCATAGGCTGGGAAAGATTATATATCATCATTTCAGATGTTCTTGCACTTAGAAGTCACCATGCAATCTCCAGTCTTTTACAAAGAAATATAAACAAAACTCTTCCAGTGGATCTCTGGAAAACCTGATTGCCCTTCCTTCCTTCCTTCCTTCCTTCGACCCATCCATCCGTCTAGACACAGTTGTCTTCATATTTGATTTTATGATATTGGGATTATATAGATTCCTCATTTAATGGTACCCTCTTCAGAAAGTATAGAAAACTTTGGGTATTTAACAGTTTTCTTTTTGTTTGTTTGTTTGTTTTAATGATGGGAAATGGGTTGTGAGTCCTCCCACTTTGTGATTTTTTTTTGTTTTATAGGACCTTCCATTTTTTCCTTCCTTTTTTTCTTCTTTTTCCCTTTACTGCAAAATTGCCAAAGGGCTTGCCTTCCTTTCTTTGGCCTTTTTTCCCCCTCCCCCAGAGCTATGCATTTCAAAGACAATCTCTTTAAATGTAGTCTATCTTTTAAAAAATCACACCTGACCCTTTACATTGCTCCATTTCTTTTCAGTGGTGCCAGGTCCTTTAAAGTGCTAGTGTTTGAAATTCCTCCCCAGTAGCCAGTGCTCTGACATGCTTAGATGCTTTTCCTCATTTTCTAATGTATGGTGAATTTAAACAATCTAGAGGGTGTTCAACTCACTCTCAGGTCCCTTCTTTCTTCCATTTAGTTTTTCCTGGTCTGTCTCTACAAAGTCTTGCGACTAGATGGGGGGGATGACAGAGTGAGAGAGCACTTACTGTGATTTGGCGATTTTTCCCTTTCAATCATAGTTATTTTGCAGTTTTGGCTTTCTCTGCCTTCAAGTTGTACTGAATACATGTTTTGGTGTAGAAATGACATCTTCTTTCTAGTTGTTTCAAATCATTTGATGAGAGATCCTGGGAGATGGGTTGCTATGCAGCCATCACTGTCCTCAGCTACTCCAGATTTTTTTTTTTAGGCAGATAGCTGGTACAGAGATCGAACCCAGGACCTTGGTGGTATTAGTACCATGCTCTAATCAACTGAGCTAACTGGCCAGCCAGATTTTTGTTTATATGTAGGCTTGTGTATATGTATTCATTTAGATAATAACTTCTTGGGAGGCAGAATCTAGATGATTTTTCCTTATTGGTACAGTGCACTGCATGTACTAGGTGCTTAATAATTGTCTTGTCCATTATCAATTAATGTGGAATGAAATGGTAACTTAATTCACTAGGGTGCCTTGGGGATTATTCATGTAGTCCTACTAGTTTTGAATTTATGACACTTTTTGAATTGAAGGCAAAGAGACTGGCAATTGTTTACCTTTTAGGATATTGGTGAAAATTGGTGAAAAGTTTGAATAATAATTTATTTTTAAATAAATGCAGTATGATTACTTTCAAGTGTGGCAAGGACCTTGGGGGGCTCTTTCTTAACAAAGGTTCAATAACTGAGTCCACTGAAATAAACTGATAATAGACGGATGAACAGGAGGAAAACCATTTTAACTATGAGCATGCACATGACAGCCTCTGTAGGGTAAATGCTGGACATGTCCCTATTCCCCTTCCCCGTGCATACCAGTGTTCCCCCTCCCCCACCAAGATACTAAACCTGGCCAAGGTAGTTACCCAAAGAAAGGAATATCCCGTTTAAATGGAGGACTGGAGGAAGCAGGGACACTAAGTAAATGAATTAGCATGCTGCTGTTAAAGCACTCTGGCTCCAAGGAGAGTAGCAAGTAGATCAACTTACTTACTCAGCCAGATCTACACTTGATCTAAGCTATGTGAGCTGCACATGAGCTTGAAAATAATTTACACCCCTACTTTGAACTGTTCACTATATAACTGTTGTAATGCACCGTGTGGTGGGGCAGATATCTAGCTGGCCAGCCACCGTCAGTGACTCCTGTAAGTCTAATAAACTGTCTCTACCTATTGAAATACCAGGTGAGTTTTTTGGAATAGGCAAGTAATGCGTGAGCGCCCTTTCAGATCTGAGGCTCCTGCAATACAGTCTCAAAGAATAGCAGACTCCAGGGAGGGGCCAGATGGTTGAAGTTTTTATAACCTTATGGAATAGGACTTGAGGTTTTGGGGAAAGTGGTGACAAGTTATGGGAGGGAAAAGGGAGGAAGGAACAGCATGGTAAACAAAGGTTGTCTTATTATGCAAATAAAGTTTATCAGGTAATACAAGTTGCTCTGATAACCTGTCTGGGTGTGATGATGACCGTTGTCCTCTTGGGTGATTAATCTCCTCTGGTTGTTTGATGAGATCCCTA